GTCCAGTCCAAGCCTGTCCTTAGGGATCGCCAAGGTGCCCACCCTCCCACCCCTTTGATGTTATTTGACGCGAAGACGCGCCTTCCGGGGGGGCGCGTCATGTCAGGCTTGTTGTGTTTTGTTCCCCATGTGCTCCCTGTGTCCCAGTGTTTATGCCCATATCTGGTTAGTTTCCTGTTCCTGTCCTGATTGTTGATTTAATTCCAGGTGTTTCCCGTTTGTTTTCATTGATCCCAGGTGTGTCTCGTCATCCCCTCATCTTGTCATGTTTAAATAGTGTTCCCTGTCTTTAGTTCAGCGTTCTGTATTGATCATGTCTACTTGCACTACGTTGAGTTTTCCTTGTTATAATTAAACTTCTCTGGATTGATGTACTCGTCGTCTCCCTCCGTTCCTTGCTCCGCACTCCCCTCAGTAGTGCACCCGTGACAGTCACATTCTGTCACCACAAACTGGCATGTCAGTCATCTTGTCACAGTTAATATCCTCCGCATTTAATTTTCTACCATATTTGAGAGAAAAGAAAAGGCACGTTGATCTGCCAGTTGTCGCTCTTTCATGTGGAGACTCTCCTTTAACTTTAACTGCTAAAAGTTAATGGCAAAATGGATCTCTATAAAAGTTCCCTTTGATATTGCAGATAAAATGTAACATGGATAACATTAAATATGTTTAATCCGGTTAAACACTGATTATTAGTCACTCAAACCCCTTAAACTGAACATATGTCCCATGCACACATCTGCCATGTTTTGTAGTATTTAAACCCTTTTACTTGTGTTTGTAGTTCTGAACCGAATCCTCATCCAAAGCACAATGTGTTGTGGGCAATATTAGCCTTTATAGTGTGCACGGATGCACACTTCTACAAATCTAACTAAAATAGTAGACCAACCAGGGACTTTTGGCATACACTTTTCAACATACTATGCTTTGGGACACACTTATTTTAATCTCACGTGCTATTTAGGATGGATAGTATGGACATTCGGATGCAGGGAATGTCTCCTAGCAACGACATCCGTATTAAATTCTAATGAGAAAATAAACAAAACACAAGCTGCTGTCCTCTTCAGTTGCTCGGCTGTTTCTTCCGACAAGTACTTGCTAACACAGTAAATAAGTACTTTGCCTGGCTTCGGCCACGCCTTACTACTTAGCAAACCGAAAATGAAAAGCCATGTGATACACACAAGAGCAAACACAACTTCAGCATGCGTTTACAATGGTAAACACAGTAAGCAAAACATTATCTCCCAGCAACGACAACCACAAGCTGCAGTCCTCTTCTGTTTCTCAACTGCTTCTTCTGTAAGATTAGGCTGTAAGAGTGTTGGTGGTCCATCCAGGATTGAACCGTAAAGTCCTGGTTTATGTAGATCTCCATCTGGAAACAGCAGTGTTTCATCCTGATAAAATGCAGATGTTGATCTGTTGAATGTCCTTCGCCGGTCACTTGGCAGAGGTCACAGTAAAGACATCAGACAGCACCGGCCTATTTTATGAGAATGTGCGCATTAGGCTTCCCTGCTCATTACTTAATTCAAGTTTTCACAGGGAACATCAGAAGAAGAAAACCTTTCAGAACTTTACTTGATCAGCAAAAGGGGTTGATTTAAAACATACGCAAATTATTAAGTTTAAGCAACAGTGACTCTGTCCCCATTATTTCTTCTGTGTTAGCTGAAGTTATTTCTATAGTAAGTTAGCAAAGCTTGTAAAATACATGTTGAAGTAAAATAAGTGATTGTGTGATCTGTTTCCTTTTTCATTCAGTGGCAAACAAACCACTGCAAGGAATTCCTGTCTACAGTCTCTCAACCAGACGGATTGTTCTTCTGGGTAAAAGTGGTGCTGGGAAAAGTGCAGCTGGAAACACAATACTAGGACAGAGAGAGTTCAGATCTGAGAGGGGAAAGAGATCAGTAACCCGTAAATCCTCAGAGAAACACACCACTGTTTCAGGCAGATCTGTGTCTGTAGTTGATACTCCTGGATTCTTTCACGCACAGATAAAAACTGAGGAGTTAACTGTAGAGGTAGAGAGATGTGTTTATTTATCCAGTCCTGGACCACATGCTTTTCTCATTGTGTTTCCTGTGATTATGAGATTCACTGAGATGGAGCAACAGATTCCTCAGAAGATTGAGATGATGTTTGGTGAGGGAGTGTTAAAATACTCCATCATTCTCTTCACTCATGGAGATCGGATAGATAAACCCATAGAGAGCTTCATTAAGCAGAACTGTAAATTAAGAGATCTAGTTGATCACTGTGGAGGCAGATATCACGTCTTCAACAATAACAATGAGAATAACAGAGAGCAGGTGAATAATCTACTGCAGAAGATTGACACAATGATAGAGCACAATGGAGGAGGACACTACAGTAATCAAATGTTTGAAGATGCTCTGAGATTCAGACAAGAGGAAGAAGAGCAGAGACGGAGAGGAGACGAGAGGAGAAAGCTACAAGAAAAAGGTAAGGTTTGATTAACATCAAAACGTAAATTAGCATGCTAAAAGTTTCTTCAGTGTTGTATTTAATTCTACTAAAGCAATGACTGCTGCTCTTAGTCATTTCATGGCAATTACTTGTTTACAATTTGTAAAAAGGCCTAGTTTTATTAGAGGTCTGTTTGGATTCCATTGTTATTTAGAGGTGACTTGCATGTTATAGTCAATATTCAGGTTAGCTGTACTAGTGAACTTTCTAGCTTACTACATTGGTGAAGTTTCTAGTCTATTCCGTTGTTGAGTCCTCATATAATAGGAGGGGTTTGACGACTGGGACATGACATGCTGAGAGAAT